GCACTTCACAGAATAAACTGTAAAGTGAATTGATTGTATATCTTGTTGGTGGAGTTTTAAAAGTACAATTTAGTTACAATTTGACAATTTTATTTTTTATTTCTTGTACAAATTTTGGGATATTGTCTCATTAAATAGTTTGATTTATTTTTGCACAAGTGTGTTGTTGGTGGTTCAAAACACATTTGCTCTATCTTGTTATACATCAGCTTGTTCCCAAACAGACTCATTGAATGCTGCTGAAACTCTGGTTCACGCCTTTGTCACCTCAAGGCTGGACTATGGGAACTCTCTCCTCGCCGGCCTTCCCGCCACCTCCCTCCACAAGCTGCAGGTCATTCAGAACTCTGCAGCTCGTGTACTGTCCCGCACCAGACACCGCGACCACATCACTCCCACCCTCGCTCGCCTCCACTGGCTCCCCATCCCCCAGAGGATTGATTTCAAGATCCTCATCCTCACCTACAAGGCCATTCACGGCCTTGCTCCCTCCTACCTCTCCAACCTACTATCCCCCTACCTACCTGCCCTTACCCTCCGTTCCTCTGGCTCCGGTCTGCTCCACGTCCCCCGCCCCAACCGCCCTACCATCGGTGGTTGGGCCTTCAGCCTCTCAGCCCCCAGGCTCTGGAACTCAATCCCCCAGTGCCTTCGCCGCCTCCTCCCTTTCCTCCTTCAAGGCCAGTCTCAAAACCTTTCTCTTTGACCGAGCCTTCAGCTCCCCTCTCAACTCTCTTCCCCCTCCTCGCTCCCTCCCTTCCATCCCCTTACCCTGACCATTTCCCCCCTCCTCGCTCCCTCCCTTCCCTCCCCTCACCCTGACCATTTCCCCCCTCCTCGCTCCCTCCCTTCCCTCCCCTCACCCTGACCATTTCCCCCCTGCTCGGGTCATGACCCAACTGTGCAGCGCCTTGGGACGTCCTCCTGACGTGAAAGGCGCTTTATAAATGGAATCTTGTTGTTGTTGTTGTTGTGCTCTGGTTATTTTTCTTCGTAAGCCAGATGTCTGACACATGCAGAAACCCATCACCATGTTTAAGAGAATCCAAATCAAACTGGGAAATTCCATGCATCCCACCTACACATGGAAATTCCAGAGGTAGAAAGTTGGAATGGAATGCACATTCTCTCCCTGCTTACCTAATTCCAGAAAGTATTAGGCATTGGTTGGCAAGAGCCAAGGTTTGGGGACTACATGGTGTGCGTTGGGGTGCTGCTGAAGTCTAACCAGCTAAAATCACATAGCTTGTCATTGATATCGCTGACTGGCAGGCTTTCCAGCTGCCTGTCCAGCTAAGACCACCCACCCTACCCATTAGGGCTTTGGCTTGCAAGACAAAAGGAGCTGAGTGGGATGATTCTCTGTCCCCCGTGCTTTGGTGAGTTAGGTATGGACTTGTTCTGTTTTACTAGAGTGGAAGTTGATGGAATTCAGGACATTTCAAGGGTACTAGACTAGAATGGAAATAGACACTTTTTTGCATTTGGATTTGTTCCCAGACATAGCTCTACAGGGTAAACATGCTTGCTATTTACAGCTGTTATTTTTGATGAGATGTCCCTTTTCACATCTCTCATCACATAGTTCTGTAAAGTCTTGAACATTTTTCTAAAAGCACATTGATTTGTGTTGTCATAAACAATTCATACTAAAGAACATAGCATATTTAACCATATAACCTTCTTGACTGAGTTTTCTTTAATCTCAAGTATAATTACTACACAAAATTTCTCACTGTTGTAATCAATAATTCTTGTGGTGAATGACCAATTGCTTTGGAGGATTGTTGGCCAGGACAAACCTCAACTTCCGTAATGGTGGTCATTCATTTGTGCAATGGAAGATTTGTTAGAAATAGAAATTATCCAAACCTCTTAAGTGTCACAGCCTTGTAACAATGTTTCCTTAATCTGTCATTCACTTGAATGTAACTTAATCATATATTAAAGAGTAACATTTATTTTTATATCTTATCCCTTTTGCCCTGAATCACACCCAATTAGCTCTTCTGTAGTCAAAATACAAAATATTGCAGAAAGAGATGTGGTTTTTGCATCATTAACATCTCTTTAACCCATCATCCCCTGTCCTCTACCCCATTTTCTCCTTTGTCTTCCTTGCCCGGCCTTCCCCCTCTCTGTTAGCACTTAAAAGCCTCTCCCTCTGAACATGCCCCAGTTCTAACGAAGGGTCTTGGACCCGAAACGTTGACTCACTTTCCTTTATCCATAGATGCTGCCTGACCTGCTGAGTGTTCCCAGCGACTTCTGTTTTTGTTTTTATTTGTTCTCTTCTTTAGCTGTGTGACACTCTGATGCAGTACTAGTGGAGTATCATATTGTTGTCTTTGGATGAGCTGTTGAACCACATTTTTTCTACCTGCCTGTTCTTCAATTGGATGTTAAATTTTGTGCAAGACTTTTCAGTAAAAGGAAAATTCTCCCCTTATCCTGGTCAACAATCCTCCAAAATAATTGGCCATTCACCTCATGGCTATTTGTGGAACTTTGCTGTATGCAAATGGCCCTTTTTTGCCTACAAAGTAACATCAGTCACTACTTATGACAGAAATTGTTACACTTTAAGATATATTAGGGATATCATAAAATGTAAGTTCTTTCTTCATGTGTAAACATGGGAATGAAGTGTTGGTAGGCTACTCAATCATGGATGGTATCAATACTGAGCCATTATATTTGTCAGTGTAAAGCACCAGCTTTAGTGGTCTCCAGCATAATGAGTAGGAGCAGGAATCCCAAAGGTGTGTTCAATCTGAGAGTGTGTGGAGATCTCTTATTTTATGCCCATAATACAAAACAATGTGTTTCTTGGTTTGCTCAAAATTTGTTGAAAAGAAAGGTTTTTTTTAACGAGTGAGTGAAATATGGTTATCATTTCAAATCTCTGATGTTCCAAACCTGCCATGTCCATCTATTATATGGTTAATAAACTTGCATTGTAGTTGGTAAAAGAAATGAATCTTTGAACAGAATGAGCCTCCCACTAAGAATTATTTTATTGAGTACCAATAATTTCTTAGGACAGATACTTTTTGTTGTACAATATGTTCAGCACAGAAATAAACCAGAAGCAATAATGAGGCAACTGGGAAAGTGAATGTACCAACGGTGTTGCATTTAGTGAGACATCTACCGATATAGCTACCGATTTCATTACACTGATAAGATGACAAATGGAGCATTTGACTTTGCTCTGATCAAATTCTTTACATGGTTTGTCAGACAGATCGATGGCAGTGCTGAAAGGACAGCTCCCTTTGGGAGCGCTATATTGCATACCATTAAAAAAATGCAAATGTACAGAGGAAATTACATGTTCTGAATTTAGGATTCAGTCAGCGTCTGATGTTGGAGCACCAAACGAATAAATACGTCCAAAGGACAACAAATAAATCAACCAGTCGTGATGGGAATGGAAACGAGAGCATGAGCAGGAAACGTACGCAATTGATGAACATTTAAGTGGGTGCACCTACAGTGCTCGTTGGAAAAGTCAATGGCAAAAAATATCTAAGGTTAAAATCTCCAGATTAAAACAATTCATAGAACAATTTGTTCAGCACTGAAATGTCAGTGAAAAGTGCTGAATGTTAAATACTGAACATTCTTATTCTCATAAATCCTATGTATAGGTTTTGAGAAGATCTTCAGTCTGCTGTGGGGAATATATCTGTTTTTTATATATAAAATAATGAGACTGTTCCATTGAAAGACTTACATATAAAATTATATATAAAATAATGAGACTGTTCCATTGAAAGGCAATTGACGACTAACAGATGAACCAAACCAATTTATCAAAATCAATGGGAATTTGATGGGCGACATGGTGGGGTTCAGGGAGATAACCAATTTTAATGTGATATTTCTCATATGAGAACCCACAGTGGGAATCTTGTGATGTGAATAGAGACAGAGACTGAAAGCATTCGCTGGCGTTTTCCTCTTAGGCAAAAATGCTGAGTATCGCCCTTCCTTGGAATAGGTTAAATCTGATAAACCGTGATTATATATATATATATGTATAAAAACTTACGTTTGCAGACTGGTTAGGTGCGAGCATCACTTAGATTGTGACTTGATAAAAGATTGGGATGGGTTCAGGGGACTGACTCAGCAAGTCTGGATAACACGCGCTGAATTAATTGCGGGTCCTTCCTTCAATATGTATGTGCACATAATTTATAACCATGTGCACCATCGCTGGGATTAGAGTTAACAGTGACAGGTGATTATTTTAGGTTTCTATCGTGAATAATTATTGATGTTTCCCAGTCGGATCTACCGGTCTGTACAAGAACACATTCATAAGGGAATAAATCATTATCACTCGAAAACACAGCTGTCAAACATAGGATATACTGTGGATGTACATGATTCGGGGGCATTGCTCCGCGGGTGTGATTCCTTTGGCCCTGTGACACCTTTCACTGTAACAAAGCATCGCCTTTTCGGGGCAGATTTCGGCGCAGTTCGCTTTATTTCTCTGCAACGAATGCGTCGTGTGGTCGCCCTGAGTGTGTGCCACTGTGCTCGTGTATTGGTGTTGTGCAGAGGGTGTGTAGGATTTAACACAGTGCACTCACTAACCTGCCTTTGAGAATTTGGACAAAGCTGCAAAGGAGTGTGAAGCTGCGGCGACACTCACACGTGTGTGTACACCAGTGATACCGGTGTCTCCTGAACTGACACACGATGTGTTTCCCCTCATGTCGCGGCAGTGCTGACCCGACAGTGACAGGTGACAGGTGGTGACTGTCGCGCTAATCTGACCCGATGCTGATGGCGATCACTTTCTTGCAGACTGTCCCGGTGTGAAGCAGATACGGGTAAACCCGGGTACAACTGCAGCATTTTCAAATGTATTCAGTGTTGCAGCGCTTCGCCGTTATCACTTCCGTGTCAGGGATTTTACAGACGTACACACTGCCACTAGTGGTTCACTGCAAAGGCACTGACTGACTTCCAACTCCTATCTCTGCTGCTCAACAAATCCCTTTCCATCACCCACCTCAGATCATGGCTGAGGGAAGGAGGACCCGGGACAAGGAGGATGACCTGCCTTTCTACCTGGCCAGGCCCGGGACAGCCAGCCAGGTCCCGAGGCAGAAATACGGCGGCATGTTCTCCGCGGTGGAGGGAGCGTATGAGAGTAAGACCTTGGACTTCGATTCGCTCAGTGTGGGGCGGAGGAGTTCCCGGAGCTCCCGGAGCCCCGGACAGCGCGATGGGTCCCGGGATCCCGAGGCTTCCAGCGACACGGCCGGTGTGCCCGGTGTGCCCGGTGTGCCCGGTGAGCTTCCCGAACCGATACACACAGCCGACACCCCGGGGGTGGAGATCAAAGTCGCTCACGGCAAAGAGAGGCTGCAAAACCGGGATGACTTGAAGGTAAGCTCTGTCTGTGTGTCTGTCTGTGTGTCTGTCTGTGTGTGTGTCTGTGTGTGTGTGTCTGTCTGTGTGTCTGTGTGTCTGTCTGTGTGTCTGTCTGTCTGTTTGTCTGTCTATCTGTCTGTCTGTCTGTCTGTCTGTCTGTGTCTGTGTGTCTGTCTGTCTATCTGTCTGTGTGTGTGTCTGTCTGTCTGTTTGTCTGTCTGTGTGTGTGTCTGTCTGTCTGTCTGTCTGTCTGTGTGTCTGTGTGTCTGTCTGTCTGTCTATCTGTCTGTCTGTCTGTCTGTCTGTCTGTCTGTGTCTGTCTGTCTGTCTGTCTGTCTGTCTGTCTGTCTGTCTGTCTGTCTGTCTGTCTGTCTGTCTGTCTCTGTGTCTGTCCTATCCTACATGGCAAAATGTGCTCTGTGTGTGTGTGTGTGTGTGTGTTGGGGTGGGGGGGGGTGTGGGGGGGGTGGGGTGGGGGGGGGGGTGGGGTGGGGGGGGGGGTGGGGGGGGGGGGGGGTGGGGGCTGATATTTGGCATTAAACTTTCCTGATCGTTTTTAGTCATTTTAACAACTGTTCATATCAAGTGCAAAACCCAAACCAGAACATGTTGTATGTGTTGTTTGTTGTTCACCTTTGTGTTGTTTCCTCCCGAGGCTCCTGTTACTACTCTGTTTAAATTTTAAAGTTCCGATTGTGTTTTTAATATAACCGTAATAAGGTTTTACATATATATACATATATATAACCTTGAGGATAGAGCTTAGCATTAATTAATATCCATTCAATAAATCAGACTGACGAGGCTGTAGATCCTGAGCTGAGTTCACTGGGTGTGTGACCTGTATACAGTAATGCTGAACAACCAAGTCAGGGCTGACTTGGGATGGATGCAATTCTGTCCAATGATCTGACGAGCGAGTGAGTGAGTGAGTGAGTTGTGAAACTGATTCAAGGCTAATAAACTTCGGTGATTAGACACTGTGCATTACGATGAAACAGCAGTGAGGTCTGGAGGTTGGAAGGCTATCAGATACCCCGAGAGGTTACAGCTGTGGAGATGTACATTCCAGGAAACGTCATATTTTGAATAAACTTTTTCTTTAAAAAAAAGTGAAAAATAATGGTCTCAAAATATTGGGCGTCAGTCACATTTCCACATTTGGTGAAATATTCTTTGTTGTTGCAATTTGTTGGGGTGGGGGTTGGGGGAGGGGTGGGGGGAGGAGGGTGGGGGGTGTGGGGGAGGAGGATGGGGGGTGTGGGGGTGGGGGAGGAGGGTGGGGGTGGGGGAGGAGGGGGTGGGGGAGGAGGGGGGGGGAGGAGGGTGGGGTGGGGGGTTGGGGTGGGGGAGGAGGGTGGGGGTGGGGGGGGTTGGGGTGGGGGAGGAGGGTGGGGGGTGTGGGGGAGGAGGATGGGGGGTGTGGGGGTGGGGGAGGAGGGGGGGGGAGGGTGGGGGGGTGGGGATGGGGGAGGAGGGTGGGGGAAGGGGGTGGGGGGAGCAGCACTGGTACTTCACAGCAAAACAGAAATCTCGTTGCACATTCGATGCTGAGAAGCGGCTGTGGAGTTGGAGCGGGTGTTTTCTGCACTGGCAGTCAGACAGGTCTAAACAGGTGAGACAGGAGGATAGGGAAGGAAAGCAGGGCCTCAGTGTGGTGACTGACTGGAACTACACTGCGGTACTGGAATGCAGCTCCAGCGGCCATCCCCCGACTGCAACACTCAGCAGCAGCACTGCAGCGGTTTGCAGTGAAGGCTGCGCTGCTTTAGGGCAGGACATGGTCTGGAGCAATACCTGCTATCGTATTGCATTCGACAGTGTCTGTTGAACCACAGCCATACACGGTTTAGGCCGAAGCGATCTGTGCTTTATGTTGTTTTTATTAAAAAAAACACTATTTGAGAATGACATTGATGTTTCTGCATAAAATCTCAGCAAATTGTGAATTCACTGTATTCGCTTCTGCATATTCTCTCGAACGGTGTTTGAACACTTGAAAAGTAAACATAGAAAACACACGATAGAGAATTTTTCCTTTTTTTTTAGAAATTTGCTTCACGTTTTCCGCACTTTTCACAGTTAAAACCAACTCCCGAATTATCTAAATTGTTTCCAGACTCAAACATGGTTATTATAGCAATTTTTGCAAGCAAATACCAAGGTATAATTCAGAGGTGGCGCTCCTAGTCTGGCTATTTCTGCTTGAAATAAACAGGATTTAACCTCAGATGAATTTTATCAACAGGTTTGTTGGCACAACTGCGGCAGTTAATGTGATGCCCCGACATTTAACCAACTGCTGGTTTCATTCCTGTGTTCCAGGCGGCGAGTCAACTAATGGGTTCACATTGAGACAAAACTAACAAAGTGGAGGAACTGTAAACAGTGAGATCCATTACATGTCATGTGCAAACCATGTGTGAATGCATGTGTGGCGAGGGAGTCATGTAATGCTCTTAGTCATGTAATTAACAGCGAATTAAAAAGATTCATCATAAAATTAGAAACAAATTGGTAAAGGACAAAGGAAATCCATTACACATAGCCTCTAATACACATGGGTGCAATTCAACCTTGTTATCAGTTACTCTATTACCTTAGCATTGCAGAGCTTGCCGGCTTTGGTACATTGTTGAATTCAGTTTTAACTTTGAACCTTGATTCTTAAAAGAACTTATAGAAAACTGGCTTGAAAATGAAAGACTGCCTTTAAGAATTTGACAAATTCTGGACCCTCTGAAATATAATGTTAATGTAGAGTTAACCTAGATCCAGAAAGGACTGCATGAACATGTATGCAACATGTTTGTTCATTTTTAAAGCAAGACTAGAGTTTGTCCTTTTGCTCATTCACTGTCGTTTGCTATAGCAATTACCATTGATGGTCACTATGGTGATAAAAGCTATAAAGAATGCAACATCCAGTTACCATGGCCTTTTTGACTGCATCATGCTGCACAAAAGCGCAAGATTAACATAACATCAGCGCACTGAGGTCTAGCTCCTTTTATTATTCTATTTATTCTACTCTATTTATAACTGTCCTTTTGGAGGCCAAAAACAACCCAAACGCACTGTTCTCCACCATCCATCACCTGCCTCCATCTTCACCTCAAACACCAAGTGCGAAGAGGTCCTCGACTTCTTCATGTCAAAGATTGAAAATATCCACTTGGCTGCATCGTCCTCCCCTTCATCCACACCCCCCAGACCGTCTACACCACACACTCCTTCCACCACGGCCCCTACCACTCCACCCCCTCCCTCCCCCCACACTCTGTTGCCCTGATTACTCCCATAAGCTCCTGTCAATGTCTTCTATCCTGAGACGCTGACCTCCTCAACCTCCCCGGCTTATTCCTCAGACTTACCGAACCAGTGCGCAACCTAGGCATCAGGTTCGACCCAAGGCTGTCCTTCCTCCTCATATCCAGTCCCTGACCAGGATCACCTTCCTTCACCTCTGCCATAGTGCTCACCTTCAACAGTACCATAGCCCAGATGCAGCAGAAACACTGCGTCACCTCCAGACTCGACTTCTCAAATGCTCTCTTAGCTGATCTCCCCAGGTCCACCATGCACATGATCCAGCTGATTCAAAACTCTGCTGCCCGCATATTCACCCATTCTAAACTCTGTTTCTCCATCACAACAGTTCTAGCCAGGCTACACTGACTCCCTATCGCCGAGTGGATCGATTTCAAGATGCTCACACTTGTTTTCAAATCCCTTCATGCCCTGGCCCTCCCTACCTCTCCGACCTGCTTATCTCTCAACCCTCAACCCGCTGCCTCCGCTCAACTGGCTCCGGTCTTCTGCATGTCCCTCTTGTCTTCCCTTCCACCGTTGGTGGTCTTGCTTTCAGCCACTAAGCCCTGAAACTCTGGAACACACTTCCTCTATCTCTCCGCCTTGCCCCTTCCTTCCCCATTTTCAAGTCAAGCCTGAAGACCTTCCTATTCGACTGTTCCTACGTACACCCCCCGACTTGATGTCGTGCTCCGCCACTGTCAAGTGCTCTGGGACCCTACTCCACATGAAGGGCGCTTTATAAATGCAAGTTGCTATTGCTGTTATATTAATATTGCTTGACAGACAGCAGTGTTCATGGCAAGCTATGTGGTTTTAGCTGGTTAGGCTCCAGCAGTACCCCCAACTTACACTCTGGGGTCCCCAAGTCTTGGCTCTTGCCAACCTGTGCCTAATACTTTACAGAATTAGGTAAGCAGGGTGCATCCCTCCAGGGAGAGAGCATATTCCATTCCAATAATCTATCTCTGGGATTTCTATGTGTAGGTGGGATGCATGGAAATCTCACTTTCGTGATGGGTATCAGCATGTATTAGGCTGGACCCACCCAAAAAAAATTCTATTAAATTAAATGGAGCAGCTGTTAATTTTTTTGGGGGTGGGGGAGGGCGGTGATTGTAAGTGAAGAATCAATTTAATGGGTGATAGTATAACAACAACTTGCATTTATGTAGCACACTTCACACAGGATAGCATCTCAGAAAGCAGCAGATTCTATACAATAATAGGGTGGACATTCCTAAGGTCAAATGAGCCGAAGAGCCTTCTATATCCATAGCTCTCTTATGATGCAGGTTGTTAACGATGATGATTGGAACACTTTCCTGCTCAAGAACAGGGGCAGTGGTTGCCTTGTGCGGACCCTGTGCAAAGGTACGGTTTGGGGCCCCTACATTTGGGGCCCCTAGACAATGATACTCAATCCATCACTGGATTTGGGGCGCATAGCTGGCTTGGTGTTCAGTGCAATTGCAACCTACCCACCTGTCCGCTCCCTCTAATCAGCAGGTTTCAGCCTGCTTCACATCCCCGACCTTGCCAGACCCATCACTGGCTTGTGGGCCTTCAGTCTCTCTGCTCCCACCATCTGGAACTTCATCCCACAGACCCTCCGCCTCGTCCCTTCCATTGCCTCCTTCAAGATCCATCTCAAGACTCTTGTCTTCAATCATGCCTTCGGTCACCCTCCTGCCCCTACCCTC